ACGGGTTTATTGATGAATACCGCCCCAGGTAGGTATGATCACCCCAAGGTATGATTTAACTAAGAGGTAATTAATGAATACGGCTCCTGGCCGTTACTAGCCTCCAGGGTAGGTTTTTAGGCGTGCTACATTGAACAAAGCACTCATGATAAGAATTGTTTTTTTTACCAGAAAAAGGGCTGTTTCAACACTCTTTACCGGAGATACAGCAGAAACAAAAGATCCTGTAGTGGCCATCAGGTGCCGTATGCATAAATCCTCCCTACTTGGGGCGGCTCCCGAATCCTCCCAACTGGGGAGCCTCCCTAAGGGAGAGCTCGGGAGGCTTCTCGTATGCGCATCTTTGGGGAGTGATTCAGGAGCAGCGACACGCGAAAATGCAGACTATTTTCAAGAGCATTCCTTGAAATTAGTGGTGTTTTTGATGATGTTCTTTTTATGTTTGGGTGAAAGCGTTGCGTTCTTTGACGAACGTGTTCGCTCCTGGCAGACGTAACAAAAGAAACAATGACATGTTCATACACGCAACGGCGCTGTGCTCCGCAATTAGGCGGTAGATTGAAATAGGCTAGGATCCATCATTTAGGAAGGATGTGTGGTTTATGAAGCTTTTTTCGTTTTTTCTTTAATTTTATTTTCGTCCTGCTTTTCTCGTATAAATCCGCCGTAATGCTAAGTTTAAACTTTACTAGGTTTTTGGAGCATGAAAAGTTCGAAATGCTCTAGACGAGCAGGCACGGCCGTCGCTATTAAGCGAGTTAGTGATTTTTTTTACTCCAAATAAAAAAGGAGTCTCAATATCTTCTTCTTTGCAGTGTACAAGCCTCACCCCTTATTCGAATAATAGTTGCATAAAATAGTTTCCGTTTTTGATAGTAAGAGCAAAAATATGAAATTACAAGCTTATTCTCCAGCTTTCTACAAAAATGTCATTCTTGAATACAGCACACGAGTTGGGTAGCGCAATGGTAGGTGTGCGGACTAGCAAGCAGGTGGTCGGTGGTTCGAATCCTGTCCTCGGCATTGTTTTGCAGCTTAGCTTTCCAAATCTTCCTACTTCAATTTTTGCAGGAAGAACAATCAGAATCAGCACTCACGTCTATTTTTCCGCTAATTAAAGGACTTCATATTTACTGTAACGGTCAACAGTAAACATTTATTGCACCTTCCTACAGACCTTCCTTTCTTCTCGTGATACATGTGAGATGTCACCTTTGCCAAGGTTGCCCAAGAGAATGGTGACCACGCGAGAAGGACCGAACATACCGATTTTTGTGAATGATTGAAGGTTTATGAATTTGAATGTGGATCGTTACTGATCCTTTCCGTTAAAGGCAGCACCCACGCTAAAATCACTTTGTTGATTTTGGTGTTAGATATCGTTTTTGGACCTGTAGCTAAACTCTCGACGATGAAAGCCTATAAGCTCATAATGGTTGAGAAAGATCGCGAAA